GCCCGCAGCTCCGACGACCATGAGCCCAGCGCCCCGATTTCCGACCAGACCAAGCCACCACAAGCCCCAGCGGTCCAGATCCGCGCGACCCAGCTGCTGCAACCCACTTTTGGTTTCTTTGACCCGGTCAACAGCATCCCAGCAGCCCAAAATCTGGTCCAAGCAGCCCCTAGTTGGACCGGTCCGACCCAACCGGCTTCTTGCTCCGTTTTTCTTCCATTTTCTAGTCCGATCCGTTCTTTTCCGATCTCGTGAGGTATAATATCTAAAGACTTGAATGATATGGAATAAATTGATGATAAAAACGAGATAAAAATTAATTGAGATGTTGATTTGAGTTGGATTGGTACACTCGAGCTTAAAGCGAATAAATTGATTTTTTCGATAAACGCGTTAAAATGTCGAAAAAAATATGATAAATTCGTATAGCTGACTTGAGGCCTAGGTTTTAATTTCGTAATTTTTGGTGCTCGTTTAGTATGTTAACTGGATTTTTGAATATGTAGCTGAAATGCCCGATTTTTGAGAAATATGATAAGACCTCGGAATTTGATGCAACTTTCTCGAAAAATCCTATAAATGCTGAATATGTCGTGGTTTAAATTTCGTAATTTTTAGAGGTTGGTTGATATGCCTATAAATTTGAGACTTTAGCTGCTTTGGTGAAAACCCTAGATTTATCCGGTTGAGATTTAGCTGAAATTACTGGGAATCGAGCTGAACCTAAAGTATGAGTTTTTGACTTGAACCGAGATAGATAGCCGGTTGAGTAAAGAACCCTAGTCTGGCCTTTTTCGGTCAGTCCGGATGAACTCTAGATCCGGATAGAAAAGTTGTGCGTCGACTGATGTCGTGTCCGTGCGTATGCACCCGGACCATGATTAAGTCGAGTCGCACTCAGTCAGATAAATGAGATCAGATCAGTCAGATAAGTTAGATCAGATAAATAAGATAAGCAGACCAGACTTAGAAATATTTCAGAGAACTCTAGAATGCCTCAAGTCAACAATTCTTTTCAGAATAGCTCAAAGCATCTAAATCCAGATTAAATGATATTTTAATCGAGCGAGAGAACCGAGTAAGATATATTAATAATAAGAATCAAGCCTTTATTTGAGC